GGTGGGGAAGCCATTTTTTATTCTAGAAATGAGGAATGAGTTTGCGAAAAAAGGTATAACTTTAAATGTACAAAATGTTCACAAAAGTTAAAAGGATAAATTAAAAATAGTACTACAAGTCATTTATAAAGACTTGTGTGCTTCATTTCTCTTCCTCCATAAAAATTAAGTTCACTGCCTAGAGACATGACTCGTAATTGATCTTACATCAAGGCATTAAAATAGTAGACTTGCGCGAGAGGCAGTAACTACCTCGATATAATAACTCCTAGTTAATAAATAATATATCTTATTTGTCTAACAATCGTGTGGTGAAGAGATACGTCGTTCTTTTAACAGGATATATCAAACTGGTTTGCTGTGTTCTATGACTATTTGCTTATTAACATTTTGATAGGACTATATTGCAGATGATTCTGATCCAATTTATATTTTTGCTAGACTGCAGTTTAGCGGACACCCGAAGCGCTTGTGACCGCGGGCTCGTTTTTGCTTGGGATTATAGGGTAGGGTTTGGGTCAGCGTCCAAGGTGTCCGCTAAACTGCAGTAGACCTCATAGGACCATAGATTGACTCTAATCATAAATTTAAATTATTCGTCATTTTTGACAATCTGTTAAATCCAAATCGTCATCATTACTAATTGAAATGAAAATAAAGAAAACTATTTCCTATCTGCTTTACATTTTCCTCACCAAAACACAGAACACAGGGTGAGAGATAAACAACTCGACATATGAATAAAATACAGAACAAAATACAAGTATGGACTGCACAGAGTATCAAGTTCCTTGTATTTTTTGCCCAAACGAGGTATATTTGACGTCTATATATCACCAGTAAAGCGTATAAATGAATGATATTTTCAGTTGCAAGGTTTTGACTATAGTCACTAAAACAAAGTGAAGATTATACGCTCTAAAGCATAGGTAATTGAAGAACAAAATAAATATTGACTTTAATTAAAACAATTCTTTTCGTGATCGTTTGCATATACGACTATCACCGATGACACAGCCGAGGATATCACGACGAAGAAACATTGCCTGCCTCACTGCCTTACTCAGACACTTTTTCAGAATGGCATAGTGGTTGCCGCGCATGCACAGCGGCTACCAACAAAAACTAACCACCGATAAGTTATATTATTGTTATAACAATGTATAATTTGACGTCTACAACTTCTTCCCCCACAAAAAATGTTGTTGCTCCCCCAAATTTTACATCCTAGCCACATGCCTGCTCATTGTGATAACATTTAAAACGTGATTCCGTTTGAAGATGCTACGAGAACTTCTAAAAACTTAACAATTGATGAATGTCTTCTGCATGATGAGATAACATTAGAAAAGTACAAATAATACACAAATCATTCATTGCTTTTTCTATAAACTTTAATTTTGCAATTTTCATGTGTCCAAATGTGGAGGCGCCGGCCCCTATTATATTACTAGCACCAGGCAAAATGCTACCTTAATTCAGGAATATCTAAGACAGGATTTAAATGCCAATAATTGAAACACGATTTTGAAACTGTGAATGGATTTTTTCTTTTTATTAATCGAAAATTCCATACAGGTATATTCCTGTGTAAGTCAGTTCATATTATAAAAAGTCTTTGTTATTAAATAAACCTTTGTAAATCATGAATACATGGCGGAAATCAACTGCACGCAATTATAATTACTTATGATCAATAAAGGCACTGTAGAAACAACAGTAAAGGATGCAATAAAAGTAAACCCTAAAACTGTTAAACAAACATGATCAAAAGTATAATTTTAAAAGCTCACTGTATTGCATGAATCAACATTTCACAAAAAAAGATTCGGTTGCGTTTTTTCTCTGTGTAAATATGTTCTTCCCGTGTTTAACATTTCACTTTTTTGCACATTTGTTGGACATGCTTGTCCCCTTCCCCTACATAAATTTCACCTCATCACTTTTTCCAAAAGCAAATATAGTTTATTAAGAAAAATTCAACGTCCTACATGTAGAAAATACAACCATGTTATTCTTCCTCCCCATACCTTTGAACAGGTTTTTGCTTTCCTTTACCATGCATCTTGTTGTCAATCGTTAGAAAGTTGGTATATGAATTTAGATATGATTTCTCATGCATGTTTAGTCATACTTTATCGAAATGCTGCTTTAGCTAATTTGTTATGTCGGTAATGTAGTTCTAAAATATCGCTTAATTTTTCTAAAATTACTTCCGTTTTAGAAGTAAGACGACCGTGTGAACAAAATTATACTTGCTTTTGTTCTTTACATGTCACATACTCAACAAACGGATGAGAGATTTAATATAAACAACGCGACCACATACATATCAGATTAAAAATGGTGATGAAAGTTTATACCATATTGTAATATCAAATTTTATCCTTGTGAGTTTTGTTACATATACACATTTGAACAACGAACGAAGATGAAAAGTGAGTCAGGATCTCCTTCAACAAACAGTATTAAAACGCATTAATGACGTCTATGTGTAGAACATTCTAGTTATATAACTGAGTATACACCACTGACTAAAAACAATTGTTATAGAAATAAAAATACATAAATAAGAACGTCATCAGAGTGCATAATGACATTGAGATTAGTCAAATTCCAAAGGACTGCTGCTAAATCTTATAAAGTTTCACAATTTTTAACTCAGGAATAAAGAATCACCTATCTAAGACAGGATTTGAATGTAAATGATTAAGACACGATTTTCGAAACTGTGAACGGATTTTTTCACTTCATTACTAAAAAATTCCATACATGTATATTCTTGCATAAGTCACTTCATATTATAAAAGATCTTTGTTATTAATTAAAACTTTGTAAATCATGAATACATTTCAAACATCAGCTGCAAGAAATTGTAATTATTTATATGTTCAATAAAAACACTGTAGATACAACAGTAAAGGATGCAATAAAGTAAACCCTAAATCTGTTATAAAAACATGATAAAAAGTATAATTTTAAAAGCACACTGTGTTGCATGAATCAACATGTCACAAAAATAGATTCGGTCGCGTTCTTCCTCTGTATGTAATTTATTCTTCCTGTGTGTAACACTTGCTTACTTTTCCAATTTTCTTACTTTAAAAAATGGTTTGTTGTATAGAACTATCAACATTTTGCTAGACACACAGAGATTAGTCAAAAGTTGCGTCAGCAAAGAAGGGAGGTTATGCATGATTGGACATGCTATACTCCCTACATAAATTTTCACAGATTCCAATTTTTTCCATAGACAAGTATGCTATTTCTCCTCTCCCATACCTTTGAAAAGACTTTGCTTTCCTTTACCATGCAGCTTATTGTCAATAGTTAGAAACTTGGTATATGAATTTAGATATGATTTCTCATGAATGTTTAGTCATACTTTATCGAGATGTTACTTTAGCTAATTTGTTATGTCGGTAATGTAGTTCTAAAATATCGCTTAATTTTTCTAAAATTACTTTTGTTTTAGAAGTAAGACGACCGTGTGAACAAAATTATGCTTGCTCTAGTTCTTTACATGTCACATACTCAACAAACGGATGAGAGATTTGATATAAACAACGCGACAACATACATATCATATTAAAATGGTGATGAAAGTTCATACCTTATTGTAACATCAATCTTTTATCCTTGTGAGCTTTGTCACATAAACACATTTGAATAACGAAGGAAGATGAAGAGTGAGTCAGGGTCTCCTTCAACAAACAGTATTAAAACACTTTAATGACGCCCATGTAGAATATTCCAGTTATATAATTGAGTATACATCACTGACTAAAAACAATTGTTATAAAAATAAAAATACATAAATAAGAACCTCATGCAGAGTACATAATAACAGTGAGATTGGACAAATTCCAAAGGACTGCTGGTAAATCTTATAAAGTTTCACAAGTTTTAACTCAGGAATAGAGAATCACCTATCTAAGACAGGATTTGAATGCCAATGATTGAGACACGATTTTCGAAACTTTGAATGGATTTTTTCACTTCATTACTAAAAAATTCCATACATGTATATTCTTGCAGAAGTCAGTTCATATTATAAAGAAACTTTGTTATTAGATAAAACTTTGTAAATCATGAATACATTTTAAACATCAGCTGCAAGAAATTGTAATTATTTATATGTTCAATAAAAAACACTGTAGATACAACAGTAAAGGATGCAATAAAAGTAAATCTTAAATTTGTTATACAAATATGATCAAAAGTATAATTTTAAAAGCACACTGTGTTGCATGAAACAACATTTCACAAAAATAGATTCGGTCGCGTTCTTCCTCTGTGTGTTAATTTATTCTTCCTGTGTTCAACATTTGCTTAGTTTTCAAATTTTCTTACTTTAAAAAAAACGGTTTGTTGTATACAACTATCAACATTTTGCTAGACATACAGAGATAAATCAAAAGTGGCGTCAGCAAAGAAGGGAGGTGATGCCTGATTGGACATGCTATCCTCCCTACATAAATTTTCACAGATTCCCATTTTTTCCATAGACAAGTATGCTTTTTCACCTCTCCCATACCTTTGAACATGCTTTGTTTCCTTTACCATGCAGCTTATTGTCAATAGTTAGAAAGTTGGTATATGAATTTAGATATGATTTCTCATGCATGTTTAGTCATACTTCATCGAGATGTTGCTTTAGCTAATTTGTAATGTCGGTAATGTAGTTCTAAAATATCGCTTAATTTTTCTAAAATTACTTCCGTTTTAGAAGTAAGACGACTGTGTGAACAAAATTATGCTTGCTTTAGTTCTTTACATGTCACATACTCAACAAACGGATGAGAGATTTAATATAAACAACGCGACCACATACATATCAGATTAAAAATGGTGATGAAAGTTCATACCTTCTTGTAACATCAATCTTTTATCCTTGTGAGTTTTGTTAAATTAACAAGTATCCAGTTAAAACAACAAGCTAAAAGTCATGCATGAAGCAAGCATCATTTTTAACCAATCAAGAAAACTATATCAAATCATTTACAACTTGTTTCTTTTGAAAATAATTAAGATAAATGCTGCAATTATGATGCATTTATGAGTGTTTAGCAGCATGTATGTACCTATTAATTTCTTCTTACCTTCTTGTAGAAGAACTGCTGTTGCCTGTTGAAGATTTTCTGAATCTGAGTCTGAGCTATCAACAGCACCATAATTAGGCATCTCCTCTTTAAGTAATATTCCTTTGCCTTTATAATTGAAGTTACATGTATAAACACATTAATTCATTCATTGTCTGGAGGTAGTTATTAAAAAAATGAAAAATAAAATATTTGTGTTTTCACACCACCATTCAGCCTCAATGGAGTTTATGCTACGACCAAAATATATTGATAATCCCATACATGGAACTTGATATAATGATGTAAGTACTTACTGTGATCCAACAATGATGAAACTGCCACTTCAATGTCTCCCTCACAAACTCTTACAGCTTCTTCTATGGCAGTATCATAAAGGTCAGGAAACATTTCATGCAGTTCAGACATTAATGGAGTTCCAGAAAAACTTGCCTGATAAAAAAATTATTCATATTATCTGAGATAAAATACTTTCAACTTTCAAAATAAGTAGGTGAACAAAAAACAGTGTGACATTTTCAAAGTAAATGTGTAATATGAATTAATGCAAGCTTATATCATACATTGATCTTGACCTTCTTAAATTGTATATGGTGATTGTCCATTCCACATTCAACCATATGATTCCTGATTGAATTCATTGGAATCTGCACTGAGCAATTTAAACATTTCACTGTTGGTCCAATAGACATATCCTAGCAAAAACAATGTATGTATACATATAACATTTTCTGTATAATAATTTATCCCTTAAATTACTCAAAGCTATGAATACAATACCTTGTTTTCTGGAGCATCTCCTGCAAGAGCGTGATCATTCGTTTCCAAGGATGAGGAATCTAGATCAGCTTGAACTGGTCGAATATATGCAATTGCCTGCCCTAGGCCTGAACTATCACGAAGAAAGTGGACAGAATATCTAATATTTGGTGGAGGGGTTATAAGATACAAATCTTTGGGTGATAAACAACTCCTTAATATCTCAAAACCCCCGCCTGATACCAGCCGGGGATAGATCTCTTCTAATTTTGCCTTCACTTTGGCTGCACTTGAATCTTTATGAAAAGAAATACGTCCACGTCCAAGACCAGCTTTTGGTAATCTAATTTTTTCCGTTCTAGCAGGCCCACAAAAGTCAGAGTTCATTTTGACTCTGAAGATGACTACCGCTAAGGTTGTCGAAACGTCAGTCAACAACAACAAAAACAGTCCTTCTCAGGACTTTATTAACCTGGACGATCATCATTTACAAACATATAAAAAGCTCTATCTCAAACTATCTACCATCAAGAGTTCAATCTCAACAAAAACCTCAATCTCAAACTATCTACCATCAACAGTCCAATCTCAACAAAAAGCTCTATCTCAAACTGTCTACAATCAAGAGTTCAATCTCAAACAAAAAGCTCTATCTCAAACTATCTACCATCAAGAGTTCAATCTCAACAAAAACCTCAATCTCAAACTATCTACCATCAACAGTCCAATCTCAACAAAAAGCTCTATCTCAAACTGTCTACAATCAAGAGTTCAATCTCAAACAAAAAGCTCTATCTCAAACTATCTACCATCAAGAGTTCAATCTCAACAAAAAGCTCTATCTCAAACCATCTACCATCAAAAGTTCAATCTCAACAAAAAGCTCTATTTCAAACTGTTTACCATCAAGAGTTCAATCTCAACAAAAACCTCAATCTCAAACTATCTACCATCAACAGTCCAATCTCAACAAAAAGCTCTATCTCAAACTGTCTACAATCAAGAGTTCAATCTCAAACAAAAAGCTCTATCTCAAACTATCTACCATCAAGAGTTCAATCTCAACAAAAAGCTCTATCTCAAACCATCTACCATCAAAAGTTCAATCTCAACAAAAAGCTCTATTTCAAACTGTTTACCATCAAGAGTTCAATCTCAACAAAAAGCTCTATCTCAAACTGTCTACCATCAAGAGTTCAATCTCAAACAATAATTTTGATTGATTCTTTTTAACTAACTTTTACATTCGTAATGTACATTTACTGTTTCTTTTTCGCCCATCGTCGCATTATAGGGCCTATGTATGTTCTACAGGTGCTGTAGGCGCTCGTCCTTTAAAATGTTGTTGTAATTAGTTGAAAAAATGTTAGTTATAGTTAAAATTGCAGTTGTGTTCACCACGATTTAATCAAAATACATTCGTTCAAATCTAATTGTCAGCGATCGCTATCAAACAACTTAATGAAACTTTCTCGAAGTTTTTTATTTTAGTCACCTTTCTGTTTTTGACTTTTGAAACTTGTAGTGCCTTAATTTAAATGACGTTCGTGCGTGCAATTAAGATATATGTTAAACCCAGTACATGTCTTCTCCGTAGATAAAGGGCAACGTCTCTTCGCAAGGAATTCTTACAACTGGCACAACAAGAGAAATACATTCTCAACGAAACAGTGATGTCTTAGGCAAGCTTTTCTTACAATTCATTATTGCATGTCTTGTTGTTACGTTTTCATTTACGTTCATTTCGTGTCGTTTGAAATGTTTTTATTTTCTTCACAACTAACTGCAACACGTGATTGCTTTGCAGATGCGCATGACCTTTCATCGCACGAAACGCCTTCGACAAGTTTTATGAACATAACACCTGCAGGAAGCCATTCAACCAAACATTAATGGTAACTTTTCTACAGTATATAATTTTGAATAGCGTTGTTATTGTGTATGCGTATTTAAATAGCAATTTGATGCGAGTTTTATTTGAATTTTCTTGTTAGCATGTTGTAAGGTTTTATATTTTTAAGATATTACGTAGGTTATACATAAGTTATTCTATTATTTTCTTATCCATCTTGTACGCTTCCAAAGATCAGTTCTCACCAAACTGGAAACATTAATTGATAAACAAGAAGAAGCGTTGTCAATATTGTGTGCTCTGTTAAGCACTAAGAAAGGTGTAGACGAGCACGAAATTTTGGAAGATGTTGTACCTAATCCCTTAGATTCATTGAAGAACTTGAGGACCTATCCTCTAGTCTTGATGAAGAAAAGTCCAGAAGAAAGTTGGTAAGTTTTGGAAAGTTAACCACCCATACGTATTTAGTAATATTTATTGCACCGACTAGTTTTTATGCATGACTCTTTCAAGTGTTACGTAAAAAAAATGTGACAAGGGAAGGCATAGCCCTTCCCCTTTATCAGTTTGGAAACGTGAAAACGATAGTTTCATTTGCAATTACGTAACATAATATTGACTTTTCTTCTACCATTTGTGTTTGAAGCTTGAAAACATGCACGTTTGTCAAAGTCTAAAACGTAATTTTAATGACCATTTTCGTGACGTTAGGGGGTCAGATTATCTGATTAAACTATATGAATCTAGCATCGTGTTTTTCGTAAGAGCAATGTCGTGTTCTGATTGATTTAAATACGTTACGATACTTCAAGCGGCTCTTAGGGGTGTGTCGTTTTATTTGTGCTGAAAATTTCAACGAAGAAGCTGGTCTTTCTAAAAGCTCTCACCATTCACTTTGGATGGTTTTGTTTTGCAATTCAAGGTCAAAATCGTTATTTATATATATGTCTAAATTGAACTTTTCCATATAATTTATCTTTTACTTTCTTTACTAGCTGCTTTGTTGGTAGCACTGTGCGCAAACACCTGTGCAAACAGTGTTAGAAGAATTATGACAAAGCTGGGAACAAATATTCTATGGTTCAAATATAGTTTAAAAGGCAGAAAGTCAAAGCGACCATTTCAGCACCTTGCCCTCTGCAAAGTTATAACAAGTAAGCACAATTAGATGATAATGATTGCTGCAGCAGTACCATGTTTTGTCTCCTTTTTCTCGTTCATGAATTGGAAATACAGCTATTTATGCTGCTCCTAATCATAAGGAATATTGTTGCAAATTTTAGAAGTTAATACATTAAACTGTTTTGCATATGTCACTATAATGAATTGTTGTTTATCATTCATCTCACGAAAATGATTTAGTGTTTTATCAATGCAATTTATTTAAAGTATGTCTTTTCTGTTTCGTTTCACTGGTTAGAAGCCTGCCTCAGAGCTCATAAAGGATGCAGCGAGGCCAACGTTGAAGAGCAAATTGCCGAATTTTTAAAATATGCTCCAGGCAAGCAAGGTTGTTCTAGATTTAAGGTAACATGTCATTATCATCATAGATTGCTGTGTAAAGTATATAGATGCCATTTTTTCTTTGTTTGATTTTCTCAACTTAGACAGAACTCAACTTATTTTACTCCGTAAGCTCATAGTTAACATATTTGTAGTTTCTTGTCTGTGTAAGTGTAGATAACTACACAATACCATTATTGGCATGTGCACTTAAAGAAAGTGAGAATGTATCTTTCATTGTCCTTCAATTATAAGTAAAGCAAAATGGAATGGACACATATACATAATGCGTACCTTTGAAAACGTTCATTTTAGTGCAGGCATTAGATTTGTGCAAGTTTTAAATTTTGTTAACTCAAACTGCATGATTAGATTTATTATATACAATTTTCTTAGCGTGATATTAAACATATTCTCATATGTGATGAATTCGAAACCTTACAAGAAGACAGTGTGGAGGAAATGGCCCTTAACATCACAAAGACTATCAAAGAATGTGCCATGGAAACAGCTGGAAGAGTTGAAAGACGACAAGAGGAAAAGCTCAAGCCTGAAACAAAAGAACTGTTGAAAGAGAGAAGAGAAATGGCAAAGAGAGATCTGAATGACCAGGAGAGAAGAGAGTACAATGAACTTTGTAAGACCATCAGGAAGAGAATGAGAGAAGACCTCAGAGAGCACAACACCATGCGAGTGAAGGAAGCAATTGGGAGTGGGAAAGGATTGAAGAGAGCTAAAGAGAAAGAAGGCTGCAAGGTTCTTATACCAACTTTAGAGGAACAAGATGGAACCGTCATCAATAACAGAGAGCGAATTCTGGAGAGGTGCGCAGAATTTTATGAAAACTTATACCAAGATGCAGCCCAGAACATCAGAAAAGAAGAGGCAGAGGATGTTCCACCGATCCTTGACAGTGAAATTGAGCACGCAATGAAAAGTATGAAGAACAACAAAGCACCAGGAGAAGATCAGGTTGTGATTGAAATGCTAAAAGCGGGAGGCGAAGTGGTCAGATCGAAGCTGAGGACGCTCTTCAATAGAGTGATGACTGAAGAAATAGTGCCAAATGGGTGGAAAAATGCCATCATCACACATATTTAAGAAGGGAGAAAAGAAAACCTCGCAAACTACAGACCAATCAGCTTACTCTCTCAAGTCTACAAACTCTTCATGAAGATCTTGAAAAATAGATTAAACAACACCCTTAGTGACCACCAACCACCAGAACAAGCAGCCTACAGAAGAGGTCATTCCACCATCGACCATCTGCAGTCAGTTGTGCAAATACTCGAGAAAACCAATGAGTATAAAATACCCATCCACATGGCATTTGTAGACTATGAAAAAGCCTTTGACTCCATCCAGCATAAGGCTGTCTTTGAGGCGCTAAAACAGCACAGCGTACAGGAAAAGTACATCAACATCTTAAAAGAAACATATAATGGAAGCACAGCTCAGATTCGAACTGAATCAACTAGCCGAAAAATCAAGATCATGAAGGGAGTGAGGCAAGGAGACACCTTGTCACCAGTGATGTTTACAGCAGCGCTGGAAGAAATATTCAGTAGAATGGAAGTTGAAGTGGGAATTAACATCAATGGAGAGAGGATGAACAACCTGAGATTTGCAGATGATATCATCTTATTTGCTGAAAAGGAAGAACACCTCAGCAAACTTTTGAACGATCTGAACGAAGAAGGGAGGAAAGATGGAATGAAAATGAACAAAAAGAAGACAAAGATCATGTGCAATGAAATAGCAAAGAAAAGGAGAAGAAAAGGAATATCGATTGATGGAGAACGGCTGGAAGAGGTTGAAGAGTACAAGTATTTGGGAAGACTACTAACACCAGGAAATGAGATGGCGAGAGAAATAGATGAGAGAATAACATCAGCTTGGAAGAGATTTGGACAGTACAGCATGTTCATGAGAGATCAAAGAATGCCCATGTGTCTCAAAAGGAAGATCATGAACACTGTCATACTACCAGCAATGACTTATGGAGCAGAGACGTGGGCACTTACCAACCATCAAAGAGAGAAACTGGCAATCCGCAAAGAAGTATGGAAAGATCAATGCTCGGTGTCACGAGGAGAGATAAGATCCGGAATGAAGACCTGAGAGCAAGAACAAAAGTGAAGGATGTCATCGAGAAAGTTAATAAAGCCAAAGGAAAGTGGGCAGGACATCTAGCCCGAATGAAAAATCATGAATGGGCAAAGAAAACAACTGAATGGACCCCGTGGGACAAAAAAAGAGGCAAGGGAAGACCGAAAAGTAGATGGAGAGATGACATCGAGCAGAGAGCGGGCAGCATGTGGACCCAGAGAGCCCAAGACCGTGAAGAGTAGAGAAAGATGTGGAGGCCATCCGCCAGCAGTGGCGTGACAGGCTGATGATGATGATGATGATGATCATCTCAAGGGTTTTTGACGTAAAATTTTTTTATGCAAAAAACAAATGCAAGATTGTCGGCAGGAGCTACTACGCATCTACTACTGCTGACATGAAATTATAAATCAGATATGTCGCCCACGATGCCTTATGGATACATTGACAAACACGACAGTGTGATGTACGATCCTAAACTTCATAGTAAACAAATGTTTTTACCACTGATGAGACTCAAAGGTTCGACCGGAGATATAAATATATCGTGGAAAGTCGAGTTTCAACAAAGTTCATTCAAAGTATCTCCTGAATTAGGAGAAGTGCTTATGAGGGAAGGCCAGTGGAATTCATCTATGCGACTTCAATTTTACTCCATACCAGAAAATGAAAAAGGCGTCTACATTTTTGTTCATTTGTTTAATATTTCTGGTGGGGCAAGTTTTAGGAACACAACCCGAGTGAAAATCGTGTTTTCTTCCAAATTCTTCGTATCGACAAAAACGAGGACTACAGACAAGAACAACTTGATTTTCAACATCGTCTTACCGTCAGTGGGTGCATGCTTTGGCTTAATCCTCATAATATCGGTAATAGTTATTCTGTACCGACGATGTTTTAGAAGAAGGTATGACACGGTTTAGGTAGGACCTTTCCTTCTAAAATTATTTACGTTGATTATTTTTAGTTAGACTTTCAAATTGAGTTTCATTGACAAAATTCGGAAAAAGTTGGTAGAAGTATTACATTTTGCACCTGTTAACAGGAACCAATAGGACATTTGCACAACTACGATTAGCTTTCGTTCAAACCCAATAAAAATCGGACAAAGTCCGATTAGCTATACATAAATGATAAGTCAAAATAACTCTCAAATCAGACAAATTTTGCAAAACCACAAAATAAAAGACCGCACAAATTTCAAACAAGTCTCGAAAAATACATAAAGCTTAGCTATTCTAAAAGTATTTCAGCCGATTACTGAAAGAAATATAGCACAAAACACACTACAAAACATCATCTTGTAAACTCAAGATTCGAGTTATTAACAAGAGACAAATCTACGATTTTAATTGAAAGGATATTTACTTTTAAAATAGTGGAAATATCGTTTATAAATTTGTCTTTGTCAATATAACACGAATCTTGAGTTTTCAAAGGATGTTTTAGATTTTTCCGTTGTAATAGCTATGATAATTCCCTTTAGAAAATAGTAAACTTAAAAAATTTGAATTTTTGAAAATACATAAAATTTGAAATTGCTTGGAAGCGATCGCACTTCATGCACGCGTTCTTGAAAAATTTCTCAACTTTTCCGCGTGTTTCTATAACTCCATAGAAACACAGAAAATGTTTTTTTATGTCTAGATAGCATAGAAATGTCTAAGACAGCATAGAAATGTTAACGATGAAAAGCAAAACTTACGGGGAAAACTTTTCCGCGTGTTTCTATAACTCCATAGAAACACAGAAAATGTTTTTTTTTATTTCTAGATAGCATAGTAATGTCTAAGGCTGTAAACAGAAATGTTTTCTATGACTTAGAAACACAGAAAAGATTTCTAGATAGTATAGAAATGTCTAAGACAGTATAGAAATGTTAACGATAAAAGCAAAACTGATGGGAAACATTTCGCGTGTTTCTATAACTCCAGAAACACAGAAAATGTTTTTATTTCTAGATAGCATAGAAATGTCTAAGACAGCATAGAAATGTTAACGATAAAAGCAAAACTTACGGGAAAACTTTTCCGTGCTTCTATAACTCCATAGAAACACAGGAAATGTTTTTATTTCTAGATAGCATAGAAATGTCTATACAGCATACAAATGTTAACGATAAAGCAAAACTTAGGAAACTTTTCCGTGTTTCTATAACTCCATAGAAACACAGAAAATGCTTTTTATTTCTAGATAGCATAGAAATGTCTAAAGCAGCATAGAAATGTTAACGATAAAAGGGAAAAACTTTCCGCAGTGTTTCATAACTCCATAGAAACACAGAAAATGTTTTTATTTCTAGATAGCATAGAAATGTCTAAAGCAGCATAGAAATGTTAACGATAAAAGGAAACTTACGGGGAAAACTCGCGTGTTTCATAACCCATAGAAACACAGAAAATGTTTTTTTATTTCTAGATAGCATAGAAATGTCTAAGGCAGCATAGAAATGTTAACGATAAAAGTAAAACTTACGGGGAAAACTTTTCCGTGTTTCTATAACTCCATAGAAACACAGAAAATGTTTTTATTTCTAGATAGCATAGAAACTAAGTCAAGACAAGCATAACGATTAAAAGTAAACTTACGGGGAAAACTTTTCCGCGTGTTTCGACCTATTATGAACAGAAAATGTTTTTTATTTATAGTATAGAAATCCTAAGACAGTATAGAAATGTTAACGATAAAAAGCAAAACCGGGGAAAACTTTTCCGCGTTTGTTAACCCATAGAAACACAGAAAATGTTTTTTATTTCTAGATAGCATAGAAAATGTCTAAGGCAGCATACAAATGTTAACGATAAAAAGCAAAACTTACGGGGAATTTCCGCGTTTTCTATAACTCCATAGAAACACAGAAAATGCTTTTATTTCTAGATAGCATAGAAATGTCTAAGACAGCATAGAAATGTT